TTACGTGCCAAGCCCTGGAACTGCAGAAAATGTATCCTGCAAGAGGACCGTTATATAAAAGGAAAATTGAAATTGTAAAAATGGCAAGATTAGGTCAGTGTTTATATGTTTAACACAAACTGAATAGTACACAATTGCAGTACCTAGAATACAGAAGCTCAGGAGGAAACGGCTCAATCCAGGCATCTTTCCTCAAACCTAAAATATATGTGAAATTAACATCTAAGTTTTGCATGGAAACGTACAGCTAGAAAACAGTTCAAATAAAGAAAAAATAAAAGTAAAATACCTATCTGTGGTTCTTTTTCCTATTAATGCTTAGTACAGCTTCTAGAAAAGTCCTGGTAAAACATAATTAAAAATCTGGTATATCTAATGGTTCAAATGTTAAAGGAGCACTGAAGCAATTCAGTATTCACGGATTCACAGACTCACAAAAGAACTGTCAACAACAAAGCAGCAGAGGGCAATATTTTCTGCATTTCTGAAGCCTGACAACCCAACTCAAGTCTACAGAGGGTGAATGTCTGTAGATCTGTTTGGGTGGAGCATCACTTAAAGTCCTTGTCCGTATTTTCTTCTGTTTTTCGACTATATAACCAGAACATGTTTTTGTGGATGGGTGGGAGAAAAACAAACAGCGGTCCCATGATATACATTTCACAGCTTGTTTGTGATCTAAATGTCATGTGATTGTCATGTATATTGCTTGGAATAAGCAAAAAATACAAAATGATAACACGGTGTGCATTTGCTTAATTATATACATAAAAACAAGTTACATTGGAACTTTTATTAAGCAGGGAAATTTAATCGTAAAAATATGGGGAAAATAGGCAGCAATGAAAAAAGAGTAGGAGTCAAATAATTCACAGAATACTGTACATACAGATCACATACTGTAGACGCATGTTTAAAAAAAGACAACTGAAATGAAATGATGGAGATAAAAGTAAAACCACAACGTACAAAGCAGTTTAAAGCAAACTTGTTCATAGACCAAAAAAGCAGGTTTGTCCATGGACTAAGATAAATCCACTTGTTTCTAAAGCAGTAAAACTGTTTAAGTTAAATACTGAAATTCCTGAGTTTCGGTCAGTTACTGTCAAGTTGTTCTCAGTACTGAATACAAAGCTAGAACAAAACAGAGCTTGCCTTTCTTGATTCCAGAAAACCAAAACCAGGTAAATTAAATCACACTGGATCCCAAATTGTTAAACAAAACTAAACTAAACAACAAAAAACTAACAAAGAAACAAACAAAAACGCTATGCTTATTTTTTGATGGTAATTACAACTTGAAGATATCACAATTGATATATCTTTTTCATAAATGACTGTCAGATTCAGCATTCCATCATATACACTAATACTAATCTCTGAAACACATGAAAATGTTAAAGTTCCTCAAGATTCAGCATTCCATCATATACACTAATACTAATCTCTGAAATACATAAAAATGTTAAAGTTCCTTGATATACTTGTGTTGAATATAAGGATGGCTTACCTTCAGCCCTGAGTGTTAACAAAGAGTTTTACCAACCAAGTCACACACACATCATCCTAAAAGAATTCTGAGTGTGAAGCTATGACTATGAGGGGGTGGGGGTGATTCAGTATGGTGGCGCTTAGTCACTGGAGCTATTCTACTGGGCTACTCTTAAAGCTAATATTTTTTTCTGGGTTTTTAACATATACTTTACTAAACAGTCCATCTAACGACGCCCCAGCCAGCTGACCAAACCTGCGCGCAGGCAGTTGGAAGATGAAAAGACCCTGAACCAAAGAACACTGTCGCTATTGGGATAAAAGCGCAGCTGGATGCAGTCAATGCCACGCTGGCTCATCGCTTTCCAAGAGCATTATAAACAACATCACAGCTCGTCATCATATTCCGCAATAGCAGATTTCTTTAAGGTTGTCTCCAAAACAACAAACGCTGCCAGGTTTCTGTCTGGCCTGCGTCAGCGCACCTTTGGCTAGAGTTGTGTTATGTGCCTAAATAAGACAAGTGGCCAGACAGACAGCACTGTGAGAGGAGGTGGGGTTGTGGGTGCTGTGATCATTATATGTGTGTGTGTGTGTGTGTGTGTGTGTGTGTGTGTGTGTGTGTGTGTGTGTGTGCCTTTGTATTACTAACATAATGAGGACCGAAACCTGTTAACACACTGACACTGTGGGGACTCGGCCATAGCTTCTGGTCCCCACAACGACATCACTGAATTTTAGGGTGGCAACATGGTTTAGGGTTAGGTTGAATTTAGGTGTAAGGTTAAGTGTTAGGGTCAGGGTTAGGCAAGTAGTGGTTATGGATAAGTCTACAGGAAATGAATGTAAGTCCCCACAAAGAATAAAAACACCGTGTGTGTGTGTATATATATATAAACTGTGAAAGCCTAGCTGGTATCAGTGTATTGGTATTAAGGAAAAGCAGTGTTGAAACGTTTCCAAATTTTCAGAATTGATATGTTTTGAAAAATACATATTTTGGACAGCAGTAATACCAAGTCAGTTTCTTTTTTCTCTGTTCCATTTTCAATTTCAATTTGTCTGAATAAAAGTCACAAACGGTCTTTAATTGGAAGAGAGATATGTTATGGTTACACTGTAAAACATCATTTAGTTGAGGATTGATGAGCACAGAAGAAACAAATTCTGTGTAAATCCCTTATTTGTTTCTTCAGCCAATTCTCAGCCCTTCT